TGATAATTCAACTACGCTTGTTGGAGAACAATAAAAACACTACACTCAACAAGCCACCAATAAAACTCAACTGCCTAACCTATAACCAAAGTCTCCTTTTAATTTGTTTTTTAAAAAAAGCGCTTGACAAACTTGCCCCGCATGCCGAAGTTGCCCCGATCTCCCCTATATGTTACTTTACATATTAAAAAGGTATGAATTAGAAAAATGTTAATTATAAATTTAAAAGCTTTTAAATCTATTATAAGTTCGTTAGTTTGTTGCGAATTACATAGGAGAATGTAGGTTTTGAAAACGAAGAAATATTGTAAATTTTACTAATTTATACAAAATTTAATAAGTTAATCGCCACCTGTTTCCTGCGGACATTACTGTGTACTCTGTAACAACACACGCTGATGCAAATTGATTATCTGTTTAGGCATGATATTTACTCACATATCAGTCTTAGAATAAAACATTACGTAGTTATACTGTATCAACATTTTATTTTCCTTCTGTAATATACGGACTATATACGGACTATGTACGGACTATATTGTCCGTACATAAAAGCACTTTCCATTTCTGTTCCATGTCCAAAATAATAATAATAATAAGTATTATTAATTTAAGAGCATTACATTGATTTATAGTTGTACAAATGTTCTAGAATAATCTGTTAATTAAAATATTGTATTCAATTTTTAAATTTCATTACAATTTCTTTTCAGAGAATGGAACCGGGAATTGCAGAAGAAGAATTCGAGCATACTGAAAGCTTTATTACGTTTTGTTGGTTGGAAATACTTAATAATTATTCTACTTGTACTCATTCAGGTATTACGACAACCCATTTGAAAGACATAAAGAATGTTCTAAAATAATTAAAATAACTGATATTAATGTTCGTTTGCAGATGACAGCGTTAGTTGCCGGCCAAGCGTACTTCGTAGGATTAATAATAAATTATTTTGAAAACAGAGAAGAACGGAATCAATACAACGTCTATGCTACACTTGCGGGATTTTTTATTCTACTTGTGATATATTTCTGTATATATAATATTAGTTCGTTCATAAACGAATTATATGGAATGAAGTTAAAGATAGCATTCTGCACTCTTATATATAGAAAGGTGAGTAGCTATTATAATATGTTATAGGCATTAGATTTATATTCTTTTTACGTTAGTGTTATTTTCTTAAATGGATCGATGAAATTAAAGACAAATGCAAACTACTTACAAAAGAATCTTTTTAGCAATCGATAGTTCTGAAATTTTATTTTGTAAAGTAATTTGAAATATATTGTAAAAAATGAAATCGCAGTTTATATACACCATATACAATCATTAATTTTGTCAAGAATAAGGTTTAGTAATCAATAAGGTTTTTTAAATGTGGCTACAATAATTCTGTATTAGCAAATTACTTTTTGTCGATATATTACTAAATTTGTTTACGTGAGCGCTATGTTTTGGCTCTATAGAAGACTTATTCGGCGCAGCAGGAAAAGTTGTAGTAGTAATAAAAATAAGTGTGAACCGAGGGGGGTTAAAGCGGTTAGCTTCTCCCCAATTATCGGCTTCGTTGTCAGAGATGGTGTTGGGTAATTGAGTGGGAGGGGTAGTGAAATCGTGACGAGGTGTCAGCAGTACTCTAAGATGACACAATACAGTATTAAATTTAGAATAACAAATTTAACTTTTAACAAATAATAGAGATACATGCGAGTATATTCTAAATTCCAACAAGAAGGAAATAGCAATAATGATGATAATAATACATCCGCGTCGCGTCAATATTAGAAGGCCGATGTCCGTCTTTCCTGTCGGTGGGACCGCCGTAGGTCCTCTATCCGATAATTTTCTAAGTTCTAACTTAAAACCGAGAGAAAAAAGTGAAGTTTCGGTCCTGGAGCTTCTTCCCGACGAACACCCGGAGGTGCGGGAGCGATCCCCTTTTATACCCGATTAGCTTAAAATGCTATGAAATTTATATGTTACTTTACATATTAAAAAGGTATGAATTAGAAAAATGTTAATTATAAATTTAAAAGCTTTTAAATCTATTATAAGTTCGTTAGTTTGTTGCGAATTACATAGGAGAATGTAGGTTTTGAAAACGAAGAAATATTGTAAATTTTACTAATTTATACAAAATTTAATAAGTTAATCGCCACCTGTTTCCTGCGGACATTACTGTGTACTCTGTAACAACACACGCTGATGCAAATTGATTATCTGTTTAGGCATGATATTTACTCACATATCAGTCTTAGAATAAAACATTACGTAGTTATACTGTATCAACATTTTATTTTCCTTCTGTAATATACGGACTATATACGGACTATGTACGGACTATATTGTCCGTACATAAAAGCACTTTCCATTTCTGTTCCATGTCCAAAATAATAATAATAATAAGTATTATTAATTTAAGAGCATTACATTGATTTATAGTTGTACAAATGTTCTAGAATAATCTGTTAATTAAAATATTGTATTCAATTTTTAAATTTCATTACAATTTCTTTTCAGAGAATGGAACCGGGAATTGCAGAAGAAGAATTCGAGCATACTGAAAGCTTTATTACGTTTTGTTGGTTGGAAATACTTAATAATTATTCTACTTGTACTCATTCAGGTATTACGACAACCCATTTGAAAGACATAAAGAATGTTCTAAAATAATTAAAATAACTGATATTAATGTTCGTTTGCAGATGACAGCGTTAGTTGCAGGCCAAGCGTACTTCGTAGGATTAATAATAAATTATTTTGAAAACAGAGAAGAACGGAATCAATACAACGTCTATGCTACACTTGCGGGATTTTTTATTCTACTTGTGATATATTTCTGTATATATAATATTAGTTCGTTCATAAACGAATTATATGGAATGAAGTTAAAGATAGCATTCTGCACTCTTATATATAGAAAGGTGAGTAGCTATTATAATATGTTATAGGCATTAGATTTATATTCTTTTTACGTTAGTGTTATTTTCTTAAATGGATCGATGAAATTAAAGACAAATGCAAACTACTTACAAAAGAATCTTTTTAGCAATCGATAGTTCTGAAATTTTATTTTGTAAAGTAATTTGAAATATATTGTAAAAAATGAAATCGCAGTTTATATACACCATATACAATCATTAATTTTGTCAAGAATAAGGTTTAGTAATCAATAAGGTTTTTTAAATGTGGCTACAATAATTCTGTATTAGCAAATTACTTTTTGTCGATATATTACTAAATTTGTTTACGTGAGCGCTATGTTTTGGCTCTATAGAAGACTTATTCGGCGCAGCAGGAAAAGTTGTAGTAGTAATAAAAATAAGTGTGAACCGAGGGGGGTTAAAGCGGTTAGCTTCTCCCCAATTATCGGCTTCGTTGTCAGAGATGGTGTTGGGTAATTGAGTGGGAGGGGTAGTGAAATCGTGACGAGGTGTCAGCAGTACTCTAAGATGACACAATACAGTATTAAATTTAGAATAACAAATTTAACTTTTAACAAATAATAGAGATACATGCGAGTATATTCTAAATTCCAACAAGAAGGAAATAGCAATAATGATGATAATAATACATCCGCGTCGCGTCAATATTAGAAGGCCGATGTCCGTCTTTCCTGTCGGTGGGACCGCCGTAGGTCCTCTATCCGATAATTTTCTAAGTTCTAACTTAAAACCGAGAGAAAAAAGTGAAGTTTCGGTCCTGGAGCTTCTTCCCGACGAACACCCGGAGGTGCGGGAGCGATCCCCTTTTATACCCGATTAGCGTGGGAAATATCTGGGATTTTTCTGACGTAATTGTCTTTGCAGCGTGCGTTGTTAACTTGAATTTCACATTTCTCCAGATTTAGCACTGTCTCCCCCGTCCTGGGTGACGAAGTTATGGTCATAATATCGTCATCTCTTGACCACTTAGCATTAAAGTCGTCATCTCCTGGGGTAGTGACTGGTCATCCTCGGTAACGTGATATAGTTTCTCACCGTACGGTCTATCCTTGTAGGTGACCTTTTCGTTCTATACAATAAAATATGTCTGTTCTTCTATACAATAAAATATGTCTGTTGTTGCTAATTGGATATTTACTTGAACACCGCAGATATCTTAGGATCTAACGATCTCTTGGGGAGAGGGTAGTTCTAGGACGACTTCGTCAGTATAGGAGGGAGCCGACTTTTCGACCTCTCAGTATATTGCGTCATTTCAAAGGTTTATTGGCCGGGCAAAGGGGTGAAAACGAGAGAATTAAGAGAAAAAACGATGAAAGAAGAAACATTTTTATACGAATTTAGCATTTAAAATTCTCAAAAGAGAGTCTGATTTCTCACAAAAGTAAGCAAATTTCTTATAGGAGTAAAAACAAAAAATGTTACAATTTGTCTTAACAGAATTTGACTTTTATGCAAAAACCTGTAATAAAACTATCTTACATTATCGAATGTTTAACAGCTTTGAATAAGCCTGTAGAATTGAAATGTAATATTTAATTCCATCTCAAACGTAAAGACAGATTTGGTTTTAGAAAGAAGGCAAATTAAATACAAAATTAGTTGCGTTTTTCGAAATTTGGTTTAAAATATCATTTTGAGGAATTGTTTTTATTATCTTAAAATAGCATTTATTCATAGTTTTACAATCTGTATAAATGTATATACAGTGTTTCTTTCTATATCTATATATACATCTTGGAGGCCGACCGATGAAGGTGGCAGCTACCGCTCTGAGGGATACGGGTTCGTATCCGAACGGGTCGAAAAGTCCCCAGGAATTTTTCGGAGGTGGTCCGTCCGGATATGTCGAGTCCCGTCCATCACCACCCGAACTGGCCGAACCCATTATAAGCTTGCTAAAAGAAACTTTCTTAGTGGCCACAGAGCGGAAAGAGTTAAATTTATATATGTCTTGAGAATAAATCATTAAACTTATATTTATTGCTATGCCAAGTTTATCTTGCTAATATGTAAAACATTTTAGGTGACTTCTGTTCGATTTAGAAATTCTTTCAAATGAATCACCTGCACATAAGTGAATAGCTGTAGTATGACATTTATTCATGCCGCATCGATTACCAAGACTCGGTCGAATTTTGTTGGATGCAGTTTGGATAACACCCCTGTTCAGCTGCTGACAACTCTTTTAAAGCAATGGCCATCGATGAGGTCATGGCAATTTTTTATTTAATTAATAATTATTATTGAAAGAGTACTATGGATTATCATATCCTGAGTATTGCTATTAGGTTTATAAAATAAACTTGAAAGAGTTTAACTGCAAAGTACCAAAGGAAGTTGATGATGATTTATAATTTAGAAAGTATATTTTGTTAGAAAATTTAATCAATTAGATTGTTTGAGAACTTTGCGAAATATTATTCTCGTATTTTTTTTATTTAATCATGATATAATTTTCTAAAAATATTTATTTTACATAAAATTTTAATTTGCAGGCAATTAGGTTAAGTTCTTCGTCTCTGGAAAGATCGAACGTGGGGCAAATGGTAAATCTTTTAGCAAACGACGTCGGCAAATTCCAAAATGTAAGTTAAAGACAATTTTCTAAATCTATTTGATTAATGTATACCACGTAAATTCACATATTTCGCCGGTGTATTATATAAACTCGACGAAAACTTTTTGGACAAAAAGTCATTTTAAAAGACGATTTAATATATGTTCAGTAATATTGATGAGAAAAATTTTTTATGCTTATGATTAGTTTATATCGCTAAACTTTGATTATAACTAAATATTTTTACAATTGACTTATACAACGGCCTTCATACGATCGTTCATTGTGTCAACAAGTTCCTGCCCTCATTTAGTGTGATTTCACACCAAAGTTACTTGACTTTTTGATTAAACCTTCCACATTTTCTTGAGGACTTTTCTTAACACGTTTTTATTTTTACATCACATATTCTCTATAGGGAAAAGTCAGAGTTGCTAATATGAAAACATTAAAATGCCCATGTTCAATGTTTTCATATTACTTTAAGCCAGCCAAGAGTCGACGGTTTTAGAAGTTTGGCAACTGTACTATACTGCTAGAGAATAACAGTCCGTGATATAGTAAATTTTTAATGATGGTAGCAGGTTTTCGTCAAGAATTTTAAGTATTTCGCTGCATTTATTGATCCCCTTTGTTAATTAAAAGGAAAATTTCTCACATCTTCGCTGACACGCAACCCAACACTATTGCTTGCTGTGACTTCTATACTGCGCAATACACAGTCATAATTCAATGCCTCTTTTCTTTTTCTGATCACTTTAATTTTTCTAATTGCTTCTAATGCAGACTCGAAACTTTGCGTGATCATTATAAATAACCTGCTTTCACTGTTGTTGTATCCGGCATTTGTGCTCTTCGGCACTATTAATTAATTAAATCGCTCTTTTATTTGTGTTTTTGTGAGAAGAGGTTTTCGCCTTTATCTACGTAAACAACACGACTCTATTGTTATTAAAAAGTAGTATCATTTTCTTACCTGATATAAGCTGTAGCGAAGTTTCTACAGTTGACTACTAGTTTCATTTGTTACTTCCTTTCTAGTAACTTTATTCTATTCGTTCACTAACTCAGCGAATGATGCACCTCGATTTTTAAAAATAATGTTACGAAGGTCAATGTGATCTGTTTTTATTACAGTTCTTGGCCATCCAGTTTATTTTTTATATAAATTTTACTAGTTTTTTGATAATTTGGAACAATTCTCTACACTGTATACTTATGAATTTTTAATCGTTTTACAATTTATTGAAATGATTGGCCCATTTCTATGAAAAGTAAAAATCAGTTCGTTTACATCAGTGTTTATCAACCTCTAAGGAATCGTCGCCCCCTTCAATGTAGTATCGCCTCCTTCAGTAAAACCGTTACGTAGTATCGCCCGCTTCACTACAAAATTCCGATGCCGAGGGTCAATGCTAATGCCAAATTCGTACTTCATTGAATAGACTAGTGACTAGTATAATGTTTTTTGTTTTATTATTGTACGATATAACGAATAAAATATCTAATTTTTCTTAATATAATATATTACTATATCGCCCAGAAAATTGTTTTTCGCCTCCCAAAATATAAATTGTTCCTAATCGCCCCCTCAACATGGAAAAATGCCCACATGGGGGCGATATCGCCCCCGTTGAAAAACACTGGTTTACATGAACACAGCTTTTTGTTCTAAATACGTAAAAATAGTTGGGGCCGAGACTCCACTAGCGTAAAAAACCCTCGCCTTAAAAAGTTTTAATCACGTGAGCGTTTTCGGTTGGGTTTCGGTGGGGGTTCGGTTAGCGATGTTTTTCGGTACTGTTCCAAGTGTCAAAAGTAAATATTACTTCGCACGTGAATTGGTGGAAACTTAAGCATTGTAGCTTGATTCTTCATAACTGTCAGAGTGCATCAAATATTTTAACTAAATCAGATACAAGCTGATATAATGTTTCAGCTTTTTGCCAGAGAATTTTTGTTGCTTGCTGCACAGGTGAAACTAAACCGACGCAAGCATCGTTTTTGGGTGAGACCTTTGTTTCAGAATAGAAGTTCATTAGATTATCATAACACACTTATGCTTGAACTTCGTTTTCGAGACCTGGGGCCGTATTCTGGTCACTTATCTCTCGTCTCTTCTTTCATCGACGAATGACGTCAAAGCGAGAGACGAAATTCGTCTCTCATACATAGTGGCGAATCTGGTCGTTCGTAACGCTCGCGTCTTTGTTGTTGACGTCACGATTCTATTCGGTTGATTATACATGTTCGGATTATCTGCGCGCTCAACACGGTATAGAATTTTAACCAATAAAATTGTAAAATTTTCGAAAATGCGGAGTACGTAATCATAGATCACGTGACAAGGAAAGCAGTTGCTCAAATAAAGCACGTAATTTCGACGAATTTGTTTTTTGTTTTATAACGTTTTTACAGATTGTAATATCAATTTGTCTCTTAACAAATAAAAATTATAACCTAAATTAGAAAAGCGTGCGTACTTAGATATTTTTCGAAATATTACCATCTAATTTCTCCTTAACTTTCTAAGTAAGATTAACATCATATTCGATAGTTCAGTAATTGATGTAAGATAATTTTTAAAAAAATGTAATCAGTGACGTTTCCGAGTAGGCACTGGAAAAAAATCGGAAGCATTTTCTCTCTCGAAATATTCTTTCCCGAGATAGAGAAAGTTTCGTAATGGGATCGCATAGCACGAGTAGCATTCAGTCGTCTACATTGGATATAACGAAATCGAGGCGAAAGACGATAGGCCGGTCGAAATACAACTATCCACTCGTCTCTGATAAACGAGAGAAGAAAAAGTTGTCCAGAATCGTGTTTAGAGAGACGCGATGATCTCTCGAGACGTAAACAAATGATTAGCCAATCAGCCATTGGCTTGTGAGAGACGACAGACGAGAGACGATGACCAGAATACGGTCCCAGGAATATTATTATGAGTTACTAATAAATCAAGATTATCCCAAAATCTATTAATGCATAAAAGTTTTGATTAGTAGTAACGTGAACTTTGTTGACAGTTTCTTACGAATGACAACTGATCTCTTTGAAGTGTTATTATAACGAGTAGGAAATCATATAAGCGAGCAAAACACACGTTTCAGAGAAGCAATTTCGGCAAGAGAACGCTGGGTAATAAATTTAAGGCACATTGTATAAGATCAGGAGCTAATGACTGAGTAGCTTAATTTGTTTTAATTGCTTTAAAACGTTCATGTTATCATGTATTTTTCCAGATATTTAGCATCAAGAAAAACATAAAGGCAAAGCTTGTCATTTGCCTTTTGAGTTGGACGAGAAGTAATAGCAAAATTGTTCAAGAAACCTGCCATTCTGTTTGGATTCAGATAAAATCAAAGTGCATGCAATTTCCAGCAACACCAAATTAATGAAAAGCTATTGCAGAAAATTTTTTAAAAGCTTAGCAATTACCACACTGCTGCGGGAACATTAATGTAAAACACGTATTGATAATTTGTCCCCAAAATAGTGGAAGTATAGGAAGTTACAAAGGAATGTTTAGTAATGTGTTGCTAGCAGTGGCAGATACCAATTACAAATTTTTATAAAGGCCATAGTGTATATAGACTATGGATACTATGGAAGTGAGAGCGATGGAGGAATATTTAAAAAAGTACGCTTTGGCCAAATGATAAAAACCTGCGGACTAAACTTGCCTAATGATGATTACTTTCCAAATTCCGAATTTATGTTGCCTTTTTATTTTATTGGTGATAAAGCTTTCCCACTATCAAGAAATTTAATGTCACCATATCCTAGACGTTCTGCTATTAGGCGATCACAACGAGTCTATAACTATAGACATGTCGTGCTCGTCGAGTAATGGAAAATGCTTTTGGCATTTAAGTTCTCGTTTTCGCATCTTCAAACGACCATTAACGTACTTCACACGAGTGAAGAACGTTAGAACGTCCGTACTTCACACGAGTGAAGATCACACGAGAAAGATGGTATTGGCAGCTTGCATCTTGCACGGTTTTTTTATAAGAGAGTCGGCTTGTTACGTTAATGCTAGAAATTGTGATTCAAAAGATGAACATAGCAACTTTATCTCAGGAAAGTGGAGTGCAACGGCTGATCATGCGAGAAGTTGCACACAGATAGCAAGCAATATGTACTCTACTGAAGCAAGAGAATTAAAGAATAAATTAGCAGACTATTTATATACTAGCTGTTACCCGCGAGGATTTTGCAAGCAAACCCCATTTATATTCAGTATTTCAACAACCATAGAAATTGTTTTATAATACCTGCCGCCGAGAATAACGAGAATTGCCGAGAATCGAACGAACTGTTTTCAATTTGATCAATTTTCTGGAACGTTTACAATCTTTCTATAATCGAACCAATATGCAATAACAAATTCGAATTTAAAACGGTTCGAACATTTTTAAAAACGAAATAGATAAAAATATTTATAACAATGTCTGAAATGTTATTAATTTAATACACGTACCGTGTTTCCCCGAAAATAAGACATCCTCTGAAAGTAAGACCTAGCATAGGTTTTGCTGGATTGCTAAACATAAGGCCTCCCCCCGAAATTAAGACCTAGCAAAGTTTTTTTTTTACTCGTAACGGTCATCGACAGATGCCTGAAAGTGGCCGTTGGCTTTTTGAAAGTACAGCCACTTATTGGTCAGCAGACAATCACGCCACACGGTATGATTTGCATAAAACTATGGCTTGGGTATCACAGATTTGCGTAACGTTACGGCTGCTAATGGCTAATTGATCGGCCGGGAATCACGCCACATCACAAAAGTAGTTCGTTTATATTTAATATGTCCATAATATACAATACTTTATGATGTCCGAAATAATTATTCTTAAATTTATATTAAGTTTAATCGAGTTAATAGTTATTTATCGGTATAAATGAAACACTTCATTTATTACAGAAAGTTATCAGCCTTCCAGTTTTATTTACATCGCCTTTCTTCATCATTACTTCGATAGCCATGTTGTGGAAGTATTATGGATGGACTATTCTAATTGGATTCTTGGTCATATTTCTCTATTTTCCTATACAAGTTGCTTTGAGTAAACTATATTCAAAATTGAGGTAACTATTATTTTAAATTATATAATTGTGAATTGTTTGTAAAAGAATAAAGAAATCATTCATTATTTAGTAATCATTAATTAAGATAAAATTGATGTATTTAACATGAATAAAATTTTATATAGGCCTACCTTATCGAAATCTATGCTACATTAACTGACATCAGAAATGGTAAGATAACCAATATGTTAGCAGAATGATCTGGGATGTCAGGGCTCGAATACATCGAGCAGACCCAAGAAATTTTTAGTATGTATGATACACAAATGCTAGATGAGGGCCAACATATGTAGACACGCCTTTATGGGCCTGACGGAATCCATAATGAATATATTATGATTAAAACGTTCCACATATTAACCAGAAGATAAAAACATTAAACATTAATTTAAATAGTTGTTTGTATAAGCGCAAAACTATATTTAGAAACATGCTTTTCATTTTGGAGCGTGTGTAATTTGTGTGAAATTTAACATAAAGCATGTTTGGAAAGTAAATATTATACGCACGTGAATCATGGCGGATGTTCATTTGATGCAATAATATGTTAAATAACGTTCGTATAGGATTTCTGTTCTTTCTAAACGTGATATAATCAAACACCGTTTCATCATCAGCAGGGTAGGGTCTAGGTTTTTCAAGGCCTAGCGCTTATCGAAGTTTAATGGGGTACTACTTTTTGTTAGATTAAAAATCTTTAAATTGGGGTTTAAACTTTATTTTTAATAACATTAATATCACAATTGAAATTTATTTATTTACGAAATTGTGTTGAATGACAAACTTTATGTCTTGTATAAAAAACATAAGAAATAAAATAATATATACATTGATTAATTACTAACCAACGTTACATCGATTATAATAAAACAAATAATACAAAATATTTATCATCTATATATATAATCGTGATGGGTTGATAATAATAATAATAATAATAATAATAATAATAATTTATCTCTTCCTTGGTCACCAACTGGTCGTGGTGGGAGAGCCCAGTAATTTTACTGAACTATAGAGCAATATAGGCGTGAGCACAAGCTCCTGGTAGGGACACACTTGCTAGTAAGGTCTATGGGGAGAAATAAAGCGAATAGTGACCATGCCCATACTCTGTGAAGATATTTATCATGGTAGTAAGCAGATCAAAGTGTGATACCGGCTCTGACTTCGCTTGGTTTAACAAGGTCTGCATTCGTGGGTTAGGCAGAGGCCCACGTTTGAAAAATAGGCGACAGTCTTCCTTGGTTACTGGTGGCAAAAGCCGCGCAGGCCCAAGCATGGCTACTGCAATGCTGTCAACAGATTTGAGGAATCAACCTACTCTTGATGTTTCTGTGGCAATGCATCCACAGACCACAAAGGCTGGAAAACCATGCCAACGGATGAAATGCACAACAGAAATGAACGATTTTATCATCCATACTTACTACACCATAGCAAGACTTGAAACAAACATGACAGCATGCAGACAACAACTACACCATAGATTCACACAACAATATCCTCACCTCACTGTCACCGAACAAAGCGTTGTTGATTAGAAAAGAACAATTATACACATCAACCTTATCCCACAAACAACACTTGAACTTATCAAACAACAGGTTGCTGAGCAAATACATCAAAAGACAGAAACATTTAACATTAACGAAGATTACGTAACCTGTCAGCATGATCCAGCAACAAGCATTGATAATAGCACACATACAACAACTACCAGTAATGATACTACAAGCACTTCCCCATCCATCACTGATAACATAGACATAGAATTAGTTAATACGCTTTCACTTATATTTCAGGAAACACTCACTAAATACACAGGCACAGATCCCACAGAAAAACCACGAATACCGAAAATCAACATGTCAAAGGTAGTAGCAAAAACACTAAATTATGTAAACACTCACTTACTACTAAACTACATTCATTCAATTTCTACACTCTCATACATTCATACATTAGTTTATGCTGGGGCATACACAGCAGTAAAACACCACGGAATGAAAATACAATCGCAGACAGATACACACAAAACACAATTCTATCACAAGCCTGCCAAGCAGAGAAGAATAGAAACACAAATAAATGACATTAGACAACAATTAGGCAGGCTGACACAATACACTAAAAACAATATAACACCCAAATTAAAAAAACAACTCAAAACATTTTCAAAAAAATCACAACACACAAAATGTAAACATCACAACACACATTACAGAATAATGCACTAAAATAGAAACTTGCAGCGAAAGCACATAGACTCAAACGATATAAAACATGTACACTACGAAAACAAGAAAATAAATTATTCACCAACAATGAAAAACTTTTCTACAGACGAATCAGTACCAAAACAAACACTAATACACAGCACAGAGGCACGCCAACAGAAGAACTCACAAGTTATTGGTCTTATTTTTGGTCCAATGCTGTTAAACACAATGCTGATGCAGGCTGGATCGAGGAGGAGAACAGAAACCTGCACATCATACCAACTATACCCTGTGCTGAAATAAACATACACGACATCCGGTACGCTGTTAACAGAACACACAACTGGAAGACACCTGGTGTAGACAACATTCACAATTTCTGGTACAAAAAGTTTACATCACTGCACCAGGAACTAGCCAAACATCTAACAAACATCATCATCAATCCACAAGACATGCCGAAATTTCTTACTCAAGGCATCACCTACATGAAACTTAAAAACAACAAAACCACAGACAGGGCCGTGCCGTAGATTTTCTAAGTATGATTCTAGTCTTCGAAATGCCGCCCCTTATATAAATTATTAGTCTGATATAGGCTATAATTCTGATTATTTCGTGTATCTTATTAGGGCCGTGCGGTTGATTTTCTAATTATGATACAAGTCTTTGAAATTCTACCTCTTAAATGTTTTTTATGCCGCCCCCTCACAGTGTCGCCTGATGCGGCCGCATCTCTGCATCATAGCACGGCACGGCTCTGACCACAGACCCACACAATACAGACCAATTACATGTCTTCCAACATTCTACAAATTATTGACATCCTGCATTACAAGCAACATATACAAACATGTTGAAGAACATGACATTCTTACAGAACAACAAAAAGGTTGCCGTAGAAATCACAGGGGATGCAAAGAACAGTTACTCATAGATTCAGTCATTCTTCGGCAAGCACACAAACAACACAGAAAACATACACATGGCTTATATAGACTATAGAAAAGCACACAACAGCGTTTCACACAGTTGGCTGCTACATATTTCACACATGTACAAAATACATCCATCATTCATTGTATTCTATACAAACATTATGCAGCATTGAAGAAAAACACTACATCTCAGGGTTAGTAACACTTCCAGACAAACAAACGAAATATTCATTAGGCGAGAAATTTTTCAAGGCGATTCCTTGAGTCTTATCTGGTTTTGCCTAGCCCTGAACCCATTATCCAACATGTGAAACAACACGCAATATGGCTACAATATCAGACATGAAAAAGAACACAGTTTACACTTTCACATCTCATGTACATGGATGACATAAAAATTTATGCATCCACACAAAAACAAAATTTAATCCACTCCTACAAATCACACATTCATACACGAAGGAAATACAAATGAAGTTTGGCTTGAACAAATGCAAAACACTTCACATCGAAAAAGAAGTTTTGAAAAAAGAAGATTTTGCACTTGGAAATGAGGACATTATTGAATCCATGGAAGAGTTCGAGTTTTACAAGTATTAAAGATTCTAACAGGCCAAACTAACAGAACATACACAAATAAAGAGAAGATTAATTAAAGAATACCAAAGTAGGTGAAATGCTATCCTCAGAACAAAGTTTAATGCAAAACACACAGGTAAAGCAATAAACACATATGTCATCCCAGTACTCATTTATTCTTTTAAAGTTATACATTGGACTCACATAGATCTTGAGCAACTCCAAAGGAAAACAAGAACAACACTTACTAAGCATCTGCCACAGAAAGATTAACTCTTCTACTTAAAATGGCGGACGTGGCATGATTGACATACTTAACCTTCACTACATACAAATACAATTACTGCGAGAGTTTGTCTAAAAAGACAAGAAACATTACAGTTACATGAAGCAGTAATTTTAACAAACACAATAAATCACATACATTATATACATATCCATTCCAAACACTCAAAATATGCAAAACACATTTACTCAAATAATTAGCAAGTATACAGAAGTTACCCAGGAAACGCGTCTGTTGAAGATGGATGTGGATAGGGTGCTTATTGTACCTGTTGTTCTCTCTTCTATGGGCGTGATATCACATACACTACGCAAGAGTCTGGGAACATTACATTTGAATAGAATTACAGCACACTACAGAAGGTAATTATATCGAATATATGCCATATTGTTAGGAAATTCTTGAATACAGACAGTGACACACTTATTTAATTTTAGATATGTTTGGTTTTTATTCCCTAACTCTGGTCCGGGATTGTACACAGCGTGCCAACCGAGTATAACTCACTAAACAGAACATAATAATAATAAGCTCAGATCCTACGGTTAGGAGTTGAAAGTTTAAATTTGTAATACAGTATAGGTCACGAGAATGTACAATAAGAAGGGATTTTTCGAAATTATTTTTCGTGGGGGAGAAGGAGAAAATTAAGGCTTATTTTAAAAAACTCAGCTTCCACTGTACTCTTTTAGATGCATTTTTTTAAATTTTAACTGCGTTTCGGTAGGCTACGCCATGCAAATTCATCCTAATAAAAGTTTTTGGAAATTTTTGTGCAGAAGAGAGGCAGAGTGTTAAGCATTATCGGGAAAAACTCGGCTTTATGCTATTTTACATGCAGTTTTTTGCGTTTTTGATTGCAATTTAGTAGGGTATGCCATGAAATGGACGATAAGAGATTTTTGAAAATTTAACTACGCGATTGAAAAAAAGAAGAAAGTTAGTTTTACTCAGTATAAACTGTAAATAATAGGAAAAAAAACTAAATAGTGGCACATATAGTATACATTTTGAAAATTAATAAATCTTTTAAGCATTTACACTTTTCGCGTAACTTACAAACAATGAATGTATCGTGTATCACGTGTGAACCACGTGTCACGAATGAACCACGTGTATCGACAGAAGGCGAGAAGAGAAAATTTACATACTTAAGTATGTAAAAATTTATTACATTTCATGTTGTACGAGGGTTTTACCCATTTCTCGAACTGTGTTAGAGTGAATCCGTGCTATAAAAGTACCGTGTTATACGGGGGATGGTACCAATTCTCGAACCGTGTTAGAGCGAATTCGTGCTATAGAAGTGCCGTGTTATATGGGGGTTACCTGTACCCGTATTGATAATTCTACATATTGTAAATTTAAATTAAAGAAAAAAAAACTAAATGAAAAAATGTATAATAAATTTGTGATTGTTGCAAGGAACATATTTACATAATAATTTTTTAATGCTATTGTTTGTGATACATAATATATTATTTTTTCTCCATAATAACTAACTATTTTCTGTACCCCTTAACTACGTATCGCGTACCCCTAGGGGTACGCGTACCACAGGTTGGGAATCGCTGTTATATGTGATATAAAAGTTTAGAAATTGGAAAATACGCTGGTCACTGCATTAGTTGAATTCTCTCTGTTATTAGGTAATCGCGTAAGTTATTCTACCAGTTTTGTATGGCCACTTATTGTTGTACATAAGAAGAAATTCAGAACTAATTGCATTCGCATGAGGTCGAACGAGGGGTAAAGGATTTCACTCCGATAACTTTGGCCTATCGCAGTGCCACAGCGGGAAACGTAAAGACCAATATATCTATCTAAGCAAATCGCATCCCACATAAGGACGCAAACAACAGAAAAAGAATGACAATGAACAATGTTCATCGATTGATTCTGTGAATTAGTCGGTTTCTTACAAAAGTTCGTTGATTACTGTAATGCAAATGATGACTCATTGTTCAACAGAACATTTTCTAATCGTGTATACTTGAAGTGACTGTTCCTGAAGCAAGTGTAAACCGCTCCTCTCTGTCTGAAAATTAATAAAACAGAAATATTTGGGCTTCGCACATAAAAATCATGTGCATGCAATCTCTCATTACAGTAGTCACAGTTTTAGGCCTTCCTGTAGATGCAACCAGGCTTGCACGTAATACAGGTGTGTTGCCTCCCTGTTGCAACTTACTGATAATACTAAGTAGCACTCCTCGGAAGTTGTTATAACTCGAGAGAGACTCTTGCCGGCCTTCTGCTTACTATTCCAGTAAATTGGAATTGGGAACACAAATGAAATTACAGAATGGTGGACTGAAAAAATGAAGCAGCGTTTTCAATAGCTTGACTGGATTCTTGCCTACCAAGGCTTGCCAGCCATCTTTGACCATCATCGAAATGACTCCTTTCGGACATAGCGAATAAAGTGGCTATTTTGGAATTTTACTGTCATGTTCGTAATTAAATTATGAAAAAACACTATAAAACACCTGTTTCTACTTATAATTAGATTTGTATGTTTCGAACGGAATCATTGTGTACTGTATTCATGTTTCGATATTCGGTTATAACACCGAAATTATACATAAAAATTCATGTAATGAAGCTTACACATTCGCTTTTTATCTAAGAATTTACAAATCGTGCTTGGTTTTTTTCATAAGAGTTAAGTATAAAAAGTTGTTGAAATAGCATTAACAAAACTTTTAAATACTCAGTGCTAGAAAAATAAAGTTAGCTTAACGCTTTAAGTTCTTAGCCCGAGTTAACTCGGGCATGACGAGCGCTTGCGTAGTTCTTCGCCCAAGTATACTCGGGCAACAATAAAAAACTCTCTCATAAACGTTCTATGCACGATATTACTCGGGAAAAGCTTATTTTGTATTCTATTGGATGTTGTCTATAACATCACAAAATTTTAAAATTTTACACCCAATGAAAGTTTATATTTTGGACAATTTTTGCGGTTCCCACCTATTGAAAAAGTATAGATGATCGAAAATTTCGTGATGTATTTGAATGTTTACGGTAACTGATGCACATCTGTCTAGAAACCGGTCTTTCCCTGCGATTTGTATGAGAATATCCCGCTATTGGCTATAAACAGCTGTTCTCAAGGACATTACGCTAACTACACAGAAAAGCTGCACGTGTCACGTGATCCGTCGCAAGTTTTTTTGATTTGAGAGAAAATTCGTTTTTAAATAATATGCAATAAAGGAAATTAAGTTATACGTTAAATTTTTTTAGAAATCTAATTCATAATTTGGTGTATTAAATGTTTTTTTAATTTTTTGTGGGAGTTTTTTCTGTAAAACACAAAAAAACAATGTTAGGTTAATGAAGTTAATATTAGCATATAATATAAGTAATAACAAGAAAATAAAGAAAAATTATCAGAAAATAACGTAATACAATCGAGTATTTGCAGTAACTAGTTCAGACGTGTGTAGAAAACCTACTTCCCCTCAGGCTGTTGTTGGGAACAACCCGCGAAAGTTTACAATCAGCTGTTTTCAAGGTCGTCCAGCTGTGTATCTGTATTGAAGCTTGTATGGAGTGTCTCTTTGTGAATATTGTGTTACATGAAAAATAATAAGTTTCTAAATAATACATTATAAAATAAATGAAGATTTATAATAAAATTTTTTATAAATTTATTTTATAAAATGGCGTATTATACATTATTTTGATTTTTTGTGGGAGCTTATTGTAAAGCTTTTTATGTCAACATATAAGGGTATAAACTATTATAGAATAAGTATTACTGTGATATAAAGAAATTTTTGTATTTGTGTAAAAATATTCATATAAAAAAGCTTTTATAATAAAAGTTCTTTGACACTTCTGCGTGCAATTGTCAAATCCCAGAAGAAAACATAAATTAACAGGATTGTCTAGAGTAATTTTTTCTTTTCTTTATATATCGATTGTTTTGTACAGATTGTTGAATATATTCTTGTAGTTACTATTTTTTATTTTATTTTTATCTAAAACCATTTGATCTAATTTTATCTATAAAACACAAATATACAATAATATTTATATGTTTCATTTTCGGAAAAACCGTAAAATAAAAATAAATCAATAGTTTTATTTCAAAATTTTATAATGTAAAGTAATATATTGTCTTCGGTACTAAACGAACTGCACCCCTCTATAGCCTCAGGGTGTGAAATGTCTTTGTTTACAATATACTATATTTCTCTTTTTATAACAAACTCCAGGGGGGTAGTGGTATTGTGGGTCAAGCAATGTAAGACAGATAAAACAGATTTTTTTCAGATAATAATTTTATTTTTATCTAAAAAATTTCAATATTTTATATACATTTTATCTTTTTCGTAGTATATTGTCTTTTTTATCTTATATTGTATTTTTATGATTCAATTTTCGTATTTTTATCATTGTATCTTTTATATATTATTTTTATATATCTTTTATCTCATTAAATTTATTTTTATTAAATGTTTTGTCATGTTTATTTTTTCAATTATTTTTTATCTACTTTACTCACGAATGGCAGCTTCCCACCACACAACGAACTTATACGGAGAAGCTGCTATCGCAGGGATGGGATGCCCCTGTAAAGTTGGCTGTCATAATGGAAAGACTCCATTTAGGAACCATCCAAGGCGCGAACACAAAAACTGTTTAAAACTTTTTTTAAATTAAAATAAACATTTTTTCTTTATTATTTAATGACAAGGTAATTTTCCAAGCGACTTTTTTCCCGAAACAAGAAACTAAAAGGTTAAATGAAACATTGTCTTTACATATAAAATATATGTTTAGTATTCAATTTTATATCATTTCATAAGAGTATATATTTATATATATAATTTCATAACAGATTACAAGCAGCTGTATTGGGAGACAAAAGATTGAATCTGTTGAACGAGATGATTGCTGATATGATGTTAATCAAGATGTACACCTGGGAATTGCCATACGCCGCACTAATAGAAAAAATCAGAGTGTAAGTGCAAGGAAAAATATTAAAATCTGCATAAAACTTTTACAGAATCGTGTTTTTGTTTTAAAAAATAATCCTGTTCAGATCATAAACATTCCAAACTGGAGAAAATATTTGACACGATCTGAAACCGGTTTACACAGGTTTTATTGTAATTTGACATGATAATGTGTTGAGTTATAAATAATTACATTTTAAGTTCTACACTTAATATTTTTAATTGTTTGTATTTGCAGGAAAGAAATGAAAAAAATTCGAAAGTTTTTATATGCAAGCGGAATATCGTGCATATTGTCATATCCTATGTCAAAATTATTCATTCTTCTTGCATATCTCGCATTCTTTTTAAATGGAGGACAACTAAATGCCGAAATTATATTCGTTACAATGACTTTTTCAATGTATATCGCCTGTCAGATTGTTGTTTTTTTTTTCTCAAGCAGTGAGTTTTGTTGCAGAAGTTTTGGTTTCGTTAAAAAGGATACAGGTAAGGAACAATTTTGAAATTATTCTTTTCATATTTTATTATAGCAATACTAATTCAGAAATAAGTCGAAGATATTTACATATAATTATTAATATTGTTGTATATAAAGATATTAAATATTAAAACTTGTCCATAACGAAATCTGAATAAATTGAAAAGCTGATCAGAGGAGAAAAGTTGCTGAATAGACAATATTTTGTGTTAAATTTAACACGGAATATTGTGTATTCAGCAACTTTCGAAGAAAGATTTCGAATTTGTTGTTAAATTTAACAACGCAACAGATCTTTTCAACACAAAACTGTAAAACTTATGAATAAATCCTGATTTGAAATCTTGTATATGAAATCGGTTTTATCTACCAACGTTACCGTGTATCATGCAAATCTGTATTCTGTGAACGAGTTTGAATCATTTAAGAATAACGAATGTCACATGATGATGAACATACGAGAATAACTTTTTACTATAATATTCCCCGAAAGATAGGTTGACATTATTACTACTCTTCAGCAGTTTCAAGAGTGAAAAACTAGTTTGTTTGGTTCTTTGGTTTCTTCGCTGTTATAATAATTCATTTGTCTAATGTCCGAAAACTCGTAATATACAATTATTCAGCACAAGTTCAATCAACATCAGGCAACAGGTTCTATCTTAAAAACTATAAAAATCCACTTAAATACTTAATGTCACACTTAATCAATAGATTAAGTGTGACATTAAGTATTAATTCTGTTTTCGACTTTTCCAAAATCGACTACGGGCGATTGAAAAACTCCAGAAATATTTTAATTATCCGATTTATAGATAAACACTTAATCTATTGATTAAGTGTTTATCTATAAATGTCACACTTAATCTATTGATTAAGTGTGACAGATTAAGTGTTTATCTATAAATCGGATAATTAAAATATTTCTGGAGTTTTTCAATCGCCCGTAGTCGATTTTGGAAAAGTCGAAAACAGAATTAATACTTAATGTCACACTTAATCTATTGATTAAGTGTGACATTAAGTATTTAAGTGGATTTTTATAGTTTTTAAGATAGAACCTGTTGCCTGATGTTGATTGAACTTGTGCTGAATAATTGTATATTACGAGTTTTCGGACATTAGACAAATGAATTATTATAACAGCGAAGAAACCAAAGAACCAAACAAACTAGTTTTTCACTCTTGAAACTGCTGAAGAGTAGTAATAATGTCAACCTATCTTTCTGGGGAATATTATAGTAAAAAGTTATTCTCTTATGTTCATCATCATGTGACATTCGTTATTCTTAAATGATTCAAACTCGTTCACAGAATACAGATTTGCATGATACACGGTAACGTTGGTAGATAAAACCGATTTCATATACAAGATTTCAAATCAGGATTTATTCATAAGTTTTACAGTTTTGTGTTGAAAAGATCTGTTGCGTTGTTAAATTTAACAACAAATTCGAAATCTTTCTTCGAAAGTTGCTGAATACACAATATTCCGTGTTAAATTTAACACAAAATATTGTCTATTCAGCAACTTTTCTCCTCTGATCAGCTTTTCAATTTATTCAGATTTCGTTATGGACAAGTTTTAATATTTAATATCTTTATATACAACAATACCTTTAGGGGACCAGGGTAACGACTGGTCGTTACCCTAATAAAAATCGGTTTTAATGAAAATTTTTGGCAACAGATGCCACCACTTGACGGTAGTGTGTTGTCTACCATCTGTTTCACATATTTGTGTCCAGGTCATCGTATA